GTTCGGCTGGAAGGACAGTTACAGGGTGGCAGAAGAAAGACTGCGTGCCGGGAAAGCGCCTTTGTATCTCCTACCTCATTATTTTTTACCAAGGAGTACGAAAGTGGTTGAATAATCAAGGCCTGGTGCCTTCGGTACAGAATCTGTCATAAAATGTTGGAAGATAATTAGACAAAAGTGAGTAACTCTCTTGTATCTTGGTAGAATTAATGAGACTGATTTCTATTATTTCCCCTCCTACCTGCTCATCTTACTACCTATTTAATTAATCTTAAAACATTTTCAGGGTAGTTTAGTTAATCTTATGCATAATATTAAATTGCAGGCAATTACCTCCCTACATAACAACACAGCTTTAGGAATGGAGCTACCTGGACTTGTCTGATTAACTTCACCCAAGACTGACAATGAAAAGTTGATGTCTGTGCTCCAAAAGCCATACTTGTTCTTTTCCCTAATAGTCCCCAAGTAATGTGTGAACAGGAAAACTATGTCTCTTTTCCTCTATACTTCAACTATAAAATTAAAGAAAAGCTTAAGACTTTTTTTTATATTATCAAGTAAATGGTTTATTAAGAGCTCAAAGATCTTGTGTGTGAAACTGGAGGAGAGCATGCCGAAGATATTGAAGAAGTAGGAGGGTGCAAGACAAAAATCCCCAAAACAACCCTTAAAAATTATATGCGTGCTAGAAGACGGTGACCCTGGGCGTAGCCTGTTTACTGGCTCCACAGGCCAATTGCAGAGCATCTCTCCTTTAGCAACATTGCCCGAGCTGGCTGTTTCTAAACTATCTGACAGCTGCCTCAGCTGAGATCTGAATAAGATTTGCATTTCTGTGGGGTTTTGGCTTGTAATCTGTATTTTCATGAGACAGCCACAGGCGTTAAGCCTTTTCAGAAAAGCAGTCCTTCACCCTAGTCCTGTAATGGCAGTTTATACTCATCTGCACTAGATAACTGTTGCCTTTTTTTTTTTCTTTTAAAGGTGGAGTACAAGAATAAGGTCAGCGAAGACTTAAATGGATTTCTGAAGGTGAGTTAAAAATGTTACTCTAACTTAGTAAGCTAGGTGCAGTCAAATTACTGTTGCCTCTATGCTGTTGTTTGATCAGAAAATAAAGATATTTCAAAAATTCTGTTTATGAAGTGAATAAGGATTAAGTCTTCCCCGTTACTAATGCAAATGCAGGTTGCCTCTATGCTTGCAGTGCTACATCTGACTGATAAACATTTCATTATTGAATTGTACACAGTGTACGTGTCCTTGCACTAGTAATAATATTGCTGATTATTAGTTACAGATATGCAAAATTCCTGTCTTTCACTGGCTTATTTTAACATAAGTATGCAAAGTATTTCAAGCATTGTAATGGTTAGCTGTGAGAAAGTGAAGTTTCAGAGCCTGGCTGTATAAAGTCTCTTTGTATGTGTTACACTCAAATAACAACAACAAGTGATGTAACATGTGAAAAACAGAATTTGATAATTTCCATCTTGTACCTCTGAAAGGAATTAGCAGGGTTTTGGCATGATGTACTTTTGCATGTTAAAATTACTTTTTTTCCCATTATAGCAAGTGAGGTCACTCCAATAGGGCTTACCCATGTAGAATAAAAGCAAAAAAAAAAAAAGTAGTGAAGGCTGTGTGTTACTGTAATGCTTCTTAAAAATAATCGCCTTGTATCGAACTGTGCAATTTGATCTTGATTAAGACCAGTATCTTGCTAACATTCAGAAGACTAATATATGTGCCAGTAAGTAAGGGCAACAACTAAATTTTTAATGTAAAAAGAAAAAGCATAGAATAAGGTCTTCAATGAAGAATTACTTTAATCTTGAAATTATATGAAAACTGTGAACCCTGGCTTTGAAAATTCAACTGCAGATTTTTTTTTTTGTTTTTAGATTATTGTTACTGCATACTGAGAGAACTCTTGGCTTATGTTGTTCAGAAGCCTGAGTTGCTTAGCATTTTCCAGCTTAGTAAGATTTTTTGGCAGTGTGCTGATTTAGTAGATTTGGGAGCAAGCAGTCGTACAAGCTTATGGTGTTAATTTGACTTGATTTTTATTTTAAAATGTTTGTTTGGACTTATTTTGACTAAGTTTTTGCAAAATTCAGTTGTGTCTTTTGTTGCGATGCAAAGGTAGAAATGGATGAATTTTTTGAAACATGTGACGAAGACATGATTATTAACAAATAGGTTACCTGCAGCAACCTCAGTTTGAAGTGGAAAACAGTCATGAAAGACTCCATGAAGTACTTAAATACAAATCCATGTTTTAAAATTCCGTATGTGTTAACAGGGTTTCTTTTTTTGGCTATTTCCTTCAACTAGCTTGATCTGTTTCTATACCCCACATAATGTTATTAGGAGTAAACTATCATGCTAAAACAGCTGCCTACATGAATCCTGTGTGTTATTTGTGTACACAACAAATGCTATACTTAGTGTGGCTTTAATACTTCAAAGTATTGTCTATCGTATGGGTAAAAGTGTTTTTGCAAGGTTATTTCCCAGCTTTCTCTTACATGTGGAAGGGTAGTTATATACTAGATTCACTCTGGTTTTAGTGTGCTAGGAAGCAGGCCTGGCTACGCAGGAGTTGTTTCACTGCATGCTATTACTTAAGACATAGTCAGGAGTAAGATGGTAACCAAGTTTATGAAGAAATAGCTATCATTTTACTGTTCACAGGACTGTTTGTCAGCTATTTTTTTTCGGTCTTGCATTACTGCAAAAATATATCCATGTATCCTGATTTTAGAAAGGAAAGCCAATAACTTCTTTCAGATTAACTACTGTAATTTCCTGCAATATATTTTTGTAATCATTTTGTGTTTGCAATGTTGAAGTAGCAAAAGGAAGAAAAATGGAGACAGAGACCATTTTAAGTCTTAGACACCAACTCAAGGAAGCAGAGAATGAGCGAAGAAAGGCAGCACAATATGGCTTGCATTTATTGGAGTCTCAAAGTGAAGTTCAAAATCAGCTGGATCAAACACGCCGTGAATTGACTGAGAAAACTGAGGTGAGGTTTTAAACTTTGAGTAAAAAAAGCAGTCAAGAACTTTGTTTTAACTATTTCCCGAATGTCACAGGTGTTTTAAATGTCTTTTAGTGTCTAGATTAATGTTAATAAACCTTTTTAATATAAACATTTGTAGAGAGGGCTTTTTATCTCTGTGTGAAGATACTGAGCATAATTTTCTCTAACTGGGACAGTGTTTCATAGCTAATTATGCATTAAGCCTTCAGGACCATGTAGCATTAATTGCCTTGAATGTAAAATGAATAGTAAGTGTTAAAGTAAATTTGTTTCAGACTGTGTTTTAGGTATGTTTAGTAATTCATTTATGTATGCTCTCCCTGTAAGCTTTGCATCACCTAAAGCTGTAAAAAGAATGCTAGCAGCAAGACTGTAAAATTGATTTCTTCTGTAATGAAGGTTTCAAATTTTTTACATACCAAGGGATTCTGAATTTATTAGGAATTACCTTACAGCTCAGAAAAGAGGGTCGTGTATATGGAGATACTTAGTCAATCAGTTTTCTTCTTAGTAATTGTTCAAGAAAATTCCTATCAGGAAAATCTCTTCCACTTCTCATAAACACTTTAATTTTGATATTTGTTTATCTTCAGTCAATCCATGCTTTAGATACATGATTTCTCTTCATTTAGTCTGTTTCTGCCTGTTCATCCATCCCTTCTCTTGTGATAGAGTAAAAATGTTTGTGGTTTTGTTGTAGTTTTTGTTGGTGATTTTTTTGTTTGTTTGTTTTATTTTGTTTGGTTTTTTTATCAGCTGGAGAGTTGTAGCACCCTGCTATTCTGAATGACCACTGATAACTCATTTTGATCAGTTTGCCATTAGTAAGCTTAGTTCAAGAGAGGCAGCTGGAAAGCACAAGTGATAAGGCAGGCAGGGCAGCATCATCCTTCTCTGCTGATAACCTGAGATGGTAGTTCCTGTGTTGTGAAACTGCATCCACAGGTTGTGACCCTGTGTTATAGCCTGGAGCAAAGTCAGGAGCTAAGCTTGTGTGAACCAGATCAATTAGTAACTTACATTCCAAGGGCAGAGGGAAAGAATTATGTGCTTTGATACAGTAGAATAACATCATGTGTGGGAACAGGGGTTATCCAACAGATACTTTTGAGCTTTTGAATCTGTGGTTCTCCTCTTTGGAATCTAAAGCCACAGCAATTGCCATGAACTCAGTGTAAGTTCTAACAGTAGGCACAAGAGTCTTTCAGAAAAAGTTGGGTACTCTTCTGTAAAAGTCAGTGTAGACACATCATGTTAGATTTTTGCCTTTCTTGGGTCTGGCCGGTAGCACACTCCCAAACCTCTGCTGCACATGGTCTTTATCTTTGGTTTAAAAGTTGTCGCCTGTATATTTGAGAGCTAAGCCTGTCCTTGATAAGCTGCTGTCTAGGCTACAGAGGTCAGTTTCACACCTGACAGCTTTCTTATAGTTTTGTTATGTTCCTTTTTTAAATTCTGGTTTGTGTTTTAAGAGTTAGTTTATTAAAAAAAAAAATCACGCGCCTTTAGACAGATTTGGTCTTGGTAGTTACCTTTTCTGCTTTTGAGACTCTCCTTTTTTATTTTTTATGTCTTCTCCTTAGTTGCTGGCTGAATTGAGTAAAATGAAGCTGCCCTTTATAACTGGCAAACGTATACAACTGGGCGTAGAGGGAAGCTGGTTAAAAAGTCATTCTTCAGTCTGGAAGGGTTGATGGGATTTATTATGAAACAGTAGACATTGACATTGTCTTGACTAGACATTGAACCCACTTGTTCTGCAGTAGGGGAATGCTTGATGGACTGTAATAATTTCTAGCATAAGCTGGTTCTGTGGTGGTAGAAAGCACATGTAAGCTCTCACTAGACTGCTTTGTTACGCCTGCAGAGAAGATGCCTATGCCCTTCGTGTTGGGTGCAAAGAAATGCACATTTTTGATGAAGAGAACACTACACAACCAAACAAGTCATAAAAATGCAGGGCAGGTTTATGGGTTTTCTTGTTTTGTTTTTTAAAAAAACGTGGGTATGACAATTCCCTAATTGAGACGTCAACAAAAAGTTGAATGAGCTACCAGTTTATAGGCATTTAGTCTGTTGGTTCTGAGCCAGTATTGAGTGTGTTGTTCCCCAAGCATTCATGAATATTTCATCTAGATTTATTAGTATGTTATTTCTTTTAGATATTTGAACAAGAGAAATACTCTCTTCAGAGAGAAATTGAACTCAAGAATCGAATGTTGGAAAGCTTGAGTTTTGAATGCGATTCCCTTAAGCAACAGCAAAACATGCAACTGGATACACAGAAAGAGCAGCTCACCAGAGTCTACGGACAAGAAATCAGTGACCTTAAAAACAAGGTTTGGCAACTAATATACAGCTAAAATATTGCTGATACCACTTTAAAGAATTTGTATTTAACTCATAATTGCACGCTTACTGCCAAAATAGATCTGATGAATAGTTATAACGTGTAGGAACTTGTTTGGTTTTTTTAACAAACATCTGCATAGTTACGTTGCAAATTATATTAAATTTCAAAGCTTGTTTTGGTAATTTATTCTTAAGTTGTATTTCTAGGATGTTTTCTGTAATCAGAATGGAGTCAAAAGTATTGTGCTGTTCAAGAATTAATAATAAAATGGTACTACTCAGTTGTCAACTGTCTTTAAGCTGGAGAACCTGAAAGCAGAACTAGATGAAACGCGACTATCGGAGAAACAATTGAGACACAAAGTGGATCATCAGAAGGAAATAATTGCCGCCAAGTCAGAAGAACTACGTATGATGTCTGAACGTGTACATGAGACCATGTCTTCAGAAATGCTCAATCTTCAGATAGAACTCACTGAACTAGAAAGTGTGAAGGTGTGTGACTAGTACTTAATTATTAGGAATGTAGGCTTGTTGGAGATAAAATTCTGTGCTCTTGCTCACTTTTTTAGATGCGTTGTGTATATTGCTACCTTATGATTGGCTTACTATTAAGTGAGTATGTGCAGGAAAAAATAATAGCCTTAGTAACTAGAATTTAATACAACCTCTTCTTCAAGATAATATGTTGTATTAGAAGTCATTACTACTAACAGACCTGTTTGGTTCGGTTGGGGCTGCATTTTGTGGAATTGTTTTATAAACTTCTTATTTCATACCTGACTGTCTTTTTTTGTTTAGGCCAATGTTGAAGAAAAGCTGAATGAACTGCAGTACAGTAAAGAACAATTAGAACTCATAAACAGTAACTTACGTAATCAGCTGGAGCGCCTACAGGGAGAAAAAGAAGAGAGGGAAAAAGAAGTTGTTTCTTACTGTAATGCATTAGAGGTATTCTCTTAATTTTATTCAGCAGTGGTAGATAATCCCCGAATTCCACAAGTTGTGGTGCTAGCTTTTCAGTGAAAGCAGAGTTTTGAGAGAGTTCTCAGGTGGGGGGGACAAAGAGAAGGCAGAGTGAAAAAAGGGGTATTGGCTGGTCATGTTTGGTGTTGTTTGTTTTTAAATACTCTCTATATTGGCATTCTTTCGTAGAAGGCTGTGTATGGAGATCCTTTGCATAGTGGTATTCTGCCTTCTAACAAGACCTGCTCGCATGTCACTGATACAGTTGTCATTTTTATTTCAAGTTTCCAATTGAATGTCTTGGAAAATTTTGTACTGGGGAGTAGGGGTTTTGTGACTAACTAGCACAGCAAGGCTAATAGTCTCATTACCATTAATCTAATTGATAAACAGCAAAGTTTTCCTTTAAAAGTTTTAGTTATGCTCTTGTCCTGAAGAGCAAGTGGAATATTAACTCTTTTAGTGGAAACAAAATTGATTGTCTGTTACTGACTAGAGCTGTATGCACGGTTAAGTAGTGCAGTATCATATAATCTGTGCTAAAGGCATAGGAAATGAAAGAGAGTTAAAACGATCTGATTAAATTCATATATGCAGTACATCAGATGCTTAAATGACTAATATCCTCTCTGCTTTAATCTAGAAAGCTCGTGAAGCTAATCAGGATCTTCAGGTTCAGCTGGATCACGCAGTGCAGCAATCTTTGGACCCTACAAGTAAAGGCAATTCTCTCTTTGCTGAGGTACAATTATGCCACAGATACCTGAGAATATACAGAGGAGAGAAGAAATATTTCAAAAGTTTTGTTTCAAGTATTGCATTGAAAATAGTAGGTTATCTGTAACTGATCTGGCCAGCATGAATCTCTATTCCTCAAACGCTAATTCACTGTTGAACTGTCTAGGAACTGACCCATGCAAAAAAGTTTTTATGCACGCTCTGAAGCTAAGGAGGTAGTAAAGTTAATGGAATCACTTAAAGTTACCTGGCTAGCAAGACAGGAGATGGGACTGAGCATTCATAACAGCTCTGTCTGCAGCTCTTAGCTCTAAATAGTTTTGTTTGGCTGCTAAGCCTTCTTTAATGCAGAAGATAGTATGTAAAATACTAAAAGGTGCTGATAAATGCTGTCTTATAAAAACGTGTTGAAAATGGCTGCACGTTTGAGTATTTGGGAGAGTTTTTGAATTAGTTTTTGAATAAGAGTTCAGCTGCTGTTAAAGGTATATGAAGTTATTTTATTTTTTGACAAGACCCGGGGAATGGGTTGAGTTGGTACACAGTTGTTGTTTTTTTTAGCTATTTGTTCTGATGCCAATGGAAAAAAAGCTATTTTACAGCAGCACTGAAGCATATGAAATGTTACTTTATTTTGATACCAAAAGAAAAATCTGTTGCACTTCATTGATTTGGCTTCAACTGCCACAGCACCGTCTACTCACTTTTAACCTTGTAAAACTCATCATCCAAGTGACAACAAGTGTTATAATTTTCATAGTAATAATTGTTAACAATGTTCTGTAGGTGGAGGACCGTAGGGCAGAAATGGAACGACAGCTGATCAGTGTGAAAGTAAAATATCAGTCACTACAAAAACAGCATGCATTCACTAGAGAACAATTGCAAAGAATGAAGGTATGACCGTTACTGTAATACTGCAGGGTTTCCTTGGGGCCTGATAGGGCAATGCTTTAGTACACAGGCTAGGGGATTTGATTGTCCTTTAAATGTGGTACAGGAGTCTGGGGGGAGGGAAATGGGAGAAAAAACCAAGGGAGATGTCATTGTGCTATTGGACTTTTATGGTACTTCAGCATTTTTCTATTGCTTCTAGTGTTACTGCTTTATCCTAGAGCTCCAAGTTATGCTGAAAGCACTATGTTTGCTTACTTTAGCAGCAGGTGTTGAAGGGATAAAAATAAAATACCACTGCTGTCAGTCAACCTACTGTTCAGTTTGTCTTGACAACTGCTTTTTCTATTTCTCGTACTACATGAATCGTTTGTTTGTGTATGAACTGTGGCTGTCAGGAATGAAAGTAAAGAAAAGGGCAGGCTTGTACCCTGTCCGCTGATCACATTGGGGTTTTTTTTCCCATCTGGGTTGACTTCTTATTTTTGTTTGTCCATATTTTTCTTGCTTCTCCCTATCTTCAGTGCAAGAACAAGTCATTAGGCTCCACCTCCATAGGATGGGAGCATGTTGGTTAACACTGGTGAGAGCTAGTTAGCAGAAGCTGATTTACAAGATTAATGTCAAGGGGAAGCTGCAAAACTGCCAGGTGTTTCCATGCTCATCTTCTGATTTTTCCAACACAAGAGTGGGTCCTCTCATTTTGATCAAGTACTTGATCATGCAGTTGGAGAAGAGTTCTTAAACATCAAAAGTTATGATAATGAGTAACAGTGAAGATAGAGGTTTGTGTTACCTAGCTTTTGTGGAGGATTAAGTTGAATATAATTGAAACTATGTTCTTAAAGGACCAGAAAAGAGCTACTGATGCAGCAAAGAAATTCTTTTACTAAATTTTGACCTGGAGAGCTAAAGATTTAAGTGACTAAAATGATTGAATAGGATCGGTTTCTTCAGAAGTTTCCTCCTTGTGATGTGAGGGTCAGTCAGTCATACTGATTGAATGGTACAAGAAACATTCCAAATACTGAAGATTTTCACCAAGAACTGAGGCAAATTGGTGTGCCAGTTCTACTACTTAATGTTTTTATTTGGATTTTCAATTCGTACTCATTTGTCCTCATAAAATTTCATCCAAATATCAATATTGGAGGTAAGCAGTTTGTTAGGACAGTTGATTTGCTTAAGCTGCCATCTGAGATCCCTGTTAGGATCCTCTCTGTTCTGGGATGCTCTGTGTTGCATTGTGGTGCCATGTGTTAAAGCTCAGTCTGTGACTAACTGATCTCTTTATTCGGCAACTGATGTCCACAGTGTAGTTAACTGTTGCTGCAGCTGTAGTTGTCAGAATATCTGAATGTGGTATTTACTGATGACTTCTGAAGATCTGACTCCTGAACAGAATGTCAGCAGTGCTGCTGTGAAAGTTATACCTTGTCCAGTGTATTTTCCACACCCACAGTATCCCTTCCAGTTTCTTAATGTCTCCATTCTTTATTTTTCTGCAGATCAACTGCAATTTACAATTCTGACAGTTAGTGAGTGGGCTTTTAAGTGAAAGGGGAAAAGGTTAGGTGTCTGTATGCTTGGGAAATGTAAGGATAGTTTTAGTCAGCTGGTGAGGGTTAAAATTTTGCCTCTCTTTTGTGCTGTAGAAGCTATGAGGACGAGGAGATTGAATCTTTCTTTAGCTCTAGTCTATGTACAGCATCATCAATATCCTTTACTTGGTGTAGGAGATGCCATAGGGTAAACGCTTTTTTCTCGCTTTCTCTGTTGATTTGTAGTCTAATTTGATTCAGTTGATCCTTTCCCGTGCTTTCTCTGTGTTCTGCAGTGTTACCTTATCCATACTGCCTAGAGTGGTAAAAATGCTACAGTTATGGCTAACACCCTGTTACATCTTTCCATTATTGCATTTCATATTGTTTCTCCAGTTGTTTAAATGTCTCCTGTGTCACTTTTAACTGAATGTATTAAGGCCCTTGTACTGTGATATTATTATGTTAACAGCATCAGAAAAATCTGCTGTAAATGCAAGACTTTTCTTTGATAAACTTCTCATGTAATGAGAAAGCTTGTTCCTGTGCTTGAAAGGAGGTGTTCCACTGAAGGACTAGAAAAAGCTGAACTTCACAGAACTTCTTGGATTAATATTATGGACGGCAAATTTTGTCTTACCTATACCTCAGAATTGGGGGTGAGAGAAGGGTTTTTGAACTTGTTGATGAACTGGAGTGTTTTTTCCCATGTGAGAGATTCTCTGTGGATGCATTTTAGCTCTGATAAACAAGCCTGGACTGTAGTTTGGTTCTAGTTGACTTGGTGTTTACAGTTTGAATGAAAATGGTGTGTCCTTGACAGTGTATTTATGGGTTCCTTAGTCAATACAAAGAAAGATACGACACCTTAGGACTACTCTGTTCAGTAAGTGTTCCACTGTCTGAAAGAGTTTGTGTCAACCTGTGGTGAGAATTGTAAAGACTGTGTTGTGAAGAATGCTGAGTTTAAGCATCCAGTGTGCTTCTGTATTCAGGTTTAGAATTACAAGGCTCGAGTACCTTAACTCTTCTGGATAAGAGACTGAGATTTTCAGTCACTTAACCCAGTATCTGTTGTAAAGCTTTTTTTTTTTTACTTTTTTTCCAGCTGCAAATGGCTACACTGCTACAGATTAAAGGCTCTCAGGCAGAATTTGAGCAGCTGGAACGCTTACAGTCGATGTTAGAACAAAAGAATGGTGAGATAGAAGATCTTCTTATGAAAGTGAGACAGTTAGAAAAATTTAAGGTATGTGGTCTATAATTAAGTGGAAAAGTCATAATTGGAAGTTAATTCATAAGAATAAGAATTATGAAAACTATCTGCGATCTGTGCTCAGGTTTGAAAAGGGATCCAAAAGCTACTCAAACCTTTATTTGACCAAAGGGCCATGTTACAGCTGGAGAACATAGACTCCTGAAGTTCAGAGAAGCAGAAAGTTCTACAGCACCCAGTCCCCGCTTTGGAGAAACAATCTTTTCTGGGTTTCTGTGTGTAGCACCTTCATATGTTACATAGTTACCTGTAGTCTTTGAATTTGATTACTTGGTTACAGTTCACTGAGCTATGACATCTGATTTTTCTCTTGGAAGATGCAGCCCTTTCACATTTTTACTGTGTGTGCTTATGCTTGATGACTTTCTGCTCTCTCAACTATATTGGATTTCTTGGATATGTATTTCCTTAATATGTCTTAACTTTGCAGTTGAAGCATGCTCTTTTCTAGAAAAACTGATTTGCTTAATCATCCTTGTAAAGCACTTTCTTCAGTCCTCTTATGCAGCTTCAGAGCATCTTGTCAAAATTTCGGAAGCTGAGAAATCCATGAGAACACCTGTATGCACTATTGTGATGTTACTGATGTCTGTGTGTATACAGAGTGGAAAAACTGTAGCTGTTCTTACATAGGGACTTGTCTGGCCCTTTCTTATCACAGCTTTGGAATGTAAACTTAAGTGTATCAGCTTATTCATTAGGATTACACTTTCCAGGACAGCATCATCTAGTCTGCCTTTAACCAAAGTGGCATAAAGCTAGGCTTAACCCATTTTAGGAAGCAATTGAGACATCTTGATTGCTTTACCAGTTTTGTCACGTGTAAGCTTGATCAGTATTTATTTTTGTCTTGATGCCATAAAGAAGTAGTATCAGGAAATAAAATGATTGATTCAAATAACCGTCAAAAGTACCTGTAGTCAGTGACTGACAGAAGCCTATGAGATCTGTGGGACAGTATGAAATCTGAGTACTGCTTGTTCAGAAAAAAACATAAAAAACCCCCATAATGTCACATGTTAATCAGGTATTTTATAGAAAGTTTACTGCATTTATGGCATCTTTGCTATGAACCAACTTTCTCATCTAAAAGATGTAACTGATTTTGAGATTTTGGCTGTTGATTAACATGGCTTGTAGTCTTTTGGGGTCCAGCTGCTGAAGCCTAGAAATAAAGGCTGAAACAAATTGCCTGTAGGTTAATTATCCTGTATTCTCAAGTAAAAAGGAAGACAACTGTTCTGCGGTGCTGTTTGAAAGCCTTCTGGAGTTGAGAACTTGGTTTTTTATTTCTTTTTTCGCAGTGAGGGAGAGAGAACAGGCAGTTTCACAATTTGACGTTTGTAACCAGTGAGGAAGTACTCGGAGCAGCTGAGCTCTTTTGTATGTTTAAATGCCTGTATGATGAGGCTTATCCATATCAATGCATGGAAAACTTCACCTAAGGAAGAAGCTGACATGCTTCTAAGAGGTCACTGTTTGACAGTCTGACACTTTTTCTTTATCAGACTTTATATGAGAGTATGGAAGAATCCAGAGCTAGTACTGGCTCAAAAGGAGGAGAGTCTGAAGATGGTTACTATGCCGATTTACTGCAAATGAAACTTGACAACTCAAAGTGAGTACTTAATGGTCTGAGGCCTAGAAGCTGGTTGTAGTCTGTTTATCGTCTAGCTACTTGGTTTTATTCTCCCATTTTTTGTCACTGTTTATATGTAGTCCACTGACTGCGTGTGCAAATATGCTCATTGTCTCGTCTTCTAGTGCTGTGGAGCCTTCGTTATAGGACTGAGAGTCATTTTGTTTGTCGTTTGACTTAGTGTTGCAAAAGATGGCAGCAGAACTGTTTTATATTACTGTTGCTTTCTTGCAGAAATATTGTTACTCCTAGATACATGATAATTGAGAACTTAAAAACAACCTGTAAGGGAACTTTATGAGGCTTCTAAAAGTCTATAGACTGCATATATTTTTCTCCTCTAAGAAGAGCCAGATGTGAAATGTTTTATAGAACTATTTAGTTGAGATGGGTTCTTTGGCTAGTGAATTCCATATCTAATAAATAGAAAGTCCGTAGCGTTTGGGCTCAGGACTGTTTTTAAGCCCTCGGATGAAAGTATTGCCCTTCCAGCAGGAGGCAATGATCTGCAGTGGGAATTCCTGAGAAGTCTGTCACCTCGCTGTTGTTGCCATTATGAGAAACTGGCCTGGTCTGAGTATGTTAGGACCACTGAGGAATGCTGATTCAGTGCTTATGATGCGGAAGTTAATGGCCTCTGAAACAGGCAAGGGCATGTACTTGAGTATTAACATCGTGATTTTTGTGTTGGTTGCTTAGAGCAACACCTTGTGTGTAACGCTGTGTTGTCAGCTACAGAAATAGTTATACAAATTTATACACAGGCTAGAAAAACCTCAATGAAGTAGTGTATTTGTAGGCTAGGGAAGGTTTCTGAAACCAGTTACCTATGTGTGTGTGCGTTGTTCAGCATACAACTTTGTGTTTAACAAGGGTTCTGTCTCTGGTAACTAAACTCACTGCTCTATGTCAAGTTCAAGCGAAAACTTTCGTTGTGCTGGAAGAGGTCTCTCTCATTGCCTACTAGGGTATACATATGGATTCTATTTGAAGTCACTGAATGCTTAGTTGACTTTGTATCTGCTGCCTTACTGAAAAAATAGAAACCAAGTCTGAGTGACTATAATTTTCCTTCCACCCCAGCAAGGAAACGGAAACCTTGAAAAATGAACTGTCCCTGCAGAGGATGAAAGCCCTGTATGAGAGCCAAAGGGTTCTGGAGGTTGAAAGGAAACTCTTCACAAATGAGAGGCATTTGCAAGCTTGTCAGAGTGAGAATATGAACTTGCGAGTTATGCTGGATGAGCTAAAAATGAAATACGAACCTGAAGGTAAATATTACTTTTCCGTACAGAAAAAAATAAATATCTGGTCTTCTCAACCTTCACAAGTTGAACGACATTAAACAGGAAGACATTGGGTTAGTTCCAGATATAAACTAACGTTTGCATGGCTGCCTTTTTGATAATAACCTGGTCCAAAAACTGCTGAACTGAAATAGTAAAGCACTACCTTGCTCAAGAACTTTATTTCAATATCCATATGAACACTGATTTTGGAAGACTAAAGAGTGCAGGTTGTAGTGTTCAGAGGCTTTATGGAGTATAGCTAGATAACCATAGTGAAGTGGGTGGGAACAAACTCTCAGGTGCTTTGCTCTCGTGATGAGAAGTATCAGCTTTCTGCATGTAGGCAGCTGGTACAAGCTTGGTAATAAGTGCAAAGCATTTAGAGGAAAAACTGTTTGGTAGTTCAGATTAACATGGATCAAGTTTTCACAAGAGAGGCCCACCTGACAAACAGCTGAGAGCTGGGCGTGTGCAGAAACAAGGGAGGTGTAGCACAAGGGGTTGTAGCCTGTGGAGGAAGATGAATGGGGATCCAGATGGGTGAATAGGTTTTGGTACATGTCCATAGCCAAAGGATTTAATTTTAAAATCTTAGTTGTGGAAGCTTACCCCAGGAGCCTCCAAAATGAAAATAAAACAATTGAGCATATTCATGTGGTTCAGAGCATCTACTTAAAAGCCTTGATAAACAGGTAGAGTTGATGGGGAAGAAGAGATTTTTTTTTTTTTTTTTTCTTCTTGTTCAAGCTAACTTCTGTTGGGAGACTTACTTGCTGATATATTATATAAAGGGACATTCTTTAAGGGATGTAGGTTGTCTGTTAAGAATTATTTCAAGGTCTTCAGTCATGTGAAATGCTCTTTATGTGTTTTAATTGTGAAAATGTTGGTAGACAAGTTAAATTCAGCTTCATTTGTGTACAAAAAGTATATTCCTTTTTCTTAGAATTACTTAAAGGTACTAAAAATAAAAAGAAGAGGGAGAAGATTCCAGTGGACACTACTTGTGAGTACTTGGACAGCAAAAATACTTCAGTAAAAGAAGCTGCTTTCACTCGATTGCCAAGTAAGGAAGAAACAAAGATGACTTCCAAGAACTTGAAGCAAAGTGACGCTTCTCCAAAAAAACACACTCTTGAAGCACCACCAATAAATACAGCTCTTCAAGCGATGCAAACTGCAGCTGAACCTGAAAGAGAAAGGAAGAGAGTTAAAACTGAAGATGAGAATCATGATGCCTTTGCTTCGTGTAGCAGGAGTGGAAGTAATTCCTTGACTGCAGCTGCCCCCAGGTCAGTGTCAGCTTCTGTCTATGGTCAAGGCAATCAGCACAGACCTGCATCTCTTTTCTTTCGCTGCATGAACTATGCTATCCACTTCTTTATTTATTTCCTCAGTGTTGCATGCAGTGTAATTCCTCAGCTCCGGCTGCCTACGCTGAACCTCTCAATACCTTTTAGAAAGACTAAAATGATGACGAATGTAAAAGACTCTTGAAACCGTAACAATTTTGGAAATAACTTTCCCATATCTTGAAAGTGTATAGGATGCTCAGATGGCATGACAGCTTGCTCTGTTTGCTCTGACTTTGGGAACAGGACTGTTTTCTTGGGCTCTTCAAAGTTGCCACACAGCTGTGCGACATAGCAAAGTAACAAAGGCAAGAGGTATCATGCTTCAGTTACATACCTCATTTCAGCACTCATCCACTTTCAGCTTTAGCTAAAAGCCTAAAAACCATTAACACAACAAAAAAATCATTTCAATTAAGTAATTCTTAACCTGAATTGGGTTAACAGAACTTCTGCTGTACGAGACAATAGACAACTAAACATCTGTTTGTCTTGTCAGACAACTGACTTGCATAATCTGCATGCATGATAACTAGAGACACAACTGCAAAACTAAGATGAAGTTGTTTTTCCCTGAACTGAGAATTTAAGTTACTTTTTGGCAGATGGTAAAGTAACTTAGAAAAATAATAAGCTCCAGCTTTTTTATCTTGGTAAAAGGAAGAGTTGAGTGTTTGTGGGGCAAAAAAAAAAATTGCGTCAGTAGTAGATGTTTTGAGCTTACAACTTGCTAATATCTGCTAGTAAAAATAGTTTACTGAATCTGGAATAACAGCAGCTTCAGTGATGGAGGAAGGCCTCACACGTGGAAATATATTTATTGTATCCAAAATTAATGGCAATTCAGAAGTAATTGGAGTGATATTTTGACTCTCGGATCAATCATTCAAGGTTGCATTGGATGCAATTAACAGATTTAAAGTCACCAAACAGTGAAATACTCTGAAACAGTCTGGAAAGAATATGGCAGAAATAGCAGTTTCAGTAGCTATGTCAAAATATACAGGGACTGTTGCTGAGGAGGAAAGATCAGGCATGTCGCATGTGGGTGGTGAAAGCTGAGAGGAAAGACTGGAGAATTTAGTGGTGGTATTGTGTTTTGACAGAGTTCCGTATGCGTAAAGGGACAGGTAGCTTGCCACATGGGAGAGAATTTTTTTCCTTGGATTCCTTTTGGAAAGGAAGATACAGGGTCTGCCAACTGGAAGTTGTCAGAAACAGTTTATGTGAACTGAAGGAGTAAACCTACCGGAGAGGGGGTGAGGAGAGGAAATGATGTTACAGAGTTGATGTTTGAAAAAGCAGAGTGAGTGGAAAAAGTGGAAGAGGAAGATGAAGTCGTAGTTCATAGGGAGGGTTCTAATCTTGCACCCATTGCTGTTGGTTCAAATAAGGAACAAAACGTACATCAGTAGACTCTGAAGAACAAAAACTACTAACACAACAAAAAAAGCTGCAAAACTCCGTAACAAGCTTTTAAGTTGTTTTCAGAGGTGGTGTGAACCTGTAAAAGGCAAATTCAGGCAGAGGGTTCTGTTCATATTTCTGATTGTGTTAATGAGCTACTAAATTCCCAGTTAATGTTGTTAAGATAACATTGAGGACTTACTTAACCTGGATCTGTTATGAACTATTATGAAATAGGAAGTCATGACAGAAATCTGAGTATTTGAGGGGTTTGGTTTCTAAACACTAAGAGAATCTCGGGGCTGTTCTGTGATGGATGTGGCTAAACCCTACTTAGGAACGCAGCTAAATGCAAAGGCACAAAATACACTGGCAACTTGAGCAGGAACGTGGAGCTGCAAGTGGAGAGTGTGGGGAAGGAAGAAATAACTGGCATGTGTATGGTGAATAATTGTCGGTGTTTCACCTTGTGTTAAGCAAAATGCGATGCTCTAGCTGAAAAAAGCTATTGTGGGCACTGGGGGTTATTTCTGTAACAGGAGTAGTTTTTATGCACTAATCAGTCTAGCTCTGTCATTATTGGTCCATGAAATGTGGCAGTGAAGAGAGCCATAGTAGCTGTGAAAGGATTAGAGACTTCATTTCTAGCAAATGGTGTTTGAAAATCTTGGTCCTCTTAGCTTAGGAGGTGCTGAAGTGGGCAGAAGTGATCTGTACGTACTTGCAGGGGTGACAGATTTCTTTGTTTTAAGAGTCTTGCTTGCTAATGTGATTTAGCAAAGTAGAGCTAGATAACTGTGAACACATAACACAAATACAGAACTGCAGCGTGTGTGTGTGTATACTTAAAAAGGTTTAAAGCAACTTTGGAATTCTTTGTTAGGTGGTGCCACTGGTTAGGTTGTGGTATGAGCGTTGAGAACATACTAATTGAGACTAAAGATTTAAATATTTAAGTGATTATTATTAATCATCAATTGCTATTGTAGTTCAGGCAATGCAAAGGTTATAGGTAGTGATATCTTTAGCTAGGCCAACTGGTCAATAAAAAGATATACTTCTGTGTTGAAATGCTTTCCCTCACTTCTGAAACGGAAATAGCAAATTCCAGCTCTTGCTGCCCAACTTAGTTTGCATTTAGATCTGACGGTGCTTGCTTTAGTTTGATCTGAAGAAGGGCTTGTGTGCCTAAGAGTTTATTTGCTTTTTTAAATTATGTAGTAGGATTACCTGTACCGAATCTACTTCATGTGGGCTTTGTTCAAACTCCTGTAGCCATTTGGCTCAGCAGGAGATCTGGGTAACTAATGCTCTCCCTGGGGTTTCAGGCATGGCATTCATCCCCAGGCAGTAAAGCTCCAACTGATGAGACCAGCTGATCTTCCTTAGATGGGTAGAAGGAACCCCTGAGCTGGCTTGGTATGAAGGCTGTGGTGGGTTAACTTAGGCTTGCTGCCAGATGCCCATCCAGCTACTCTCGCTCCCCTTCCTTAACAGAGGGGGAAAATAAGATGGATAATGCTTCTGGGCTAAGGTAAAGACAGGGATCAGTCACGGGCAAAACAGACTTGACTTGGGGAAGATTAACTCATTGCCAATTAAAAACAGTGGGATGGTGAGGAAGAAAGAAAATGACCTTCCCCCTATCCCCCAACCCTTCTTCCAAGGCTCAGCTTCACTTCTTCATTCCCAACTTCTACCTGCTCCTTAGCTTGTAACACTTCATCTCTGCTGCTCCTTCGTTATCATGAAGGTTGGTAGAAAAGAATTAGGAAGGGGGCTGGCTGATTTTTGAGCTCCATGAGACTTAATTTCAGAACATGATGCTCAGCTGTTAACTTTGGAATCTGTTAAGAAAAGGGACAAATGAATGAGTTCAGTTGTATGTAGCAGCCTGTAGACATTATCTACATCTACACCCCAATAAAACATGTTATTTTTCAAAAAAATTCAGTGTGGTAATGAAAGTATGGCTTAACAACTTGTAGGCTGTAGACTAATCAGTCCTGAAGCATTTGCAGGCAAACTGTAAGGTACTAAGAATGAAAGAGGAAAAATTTGCTTGAATTGTCTCTTCACTGTTATGTTACAGCTCAATTATTGGAATCTTTGGGCATTTCTGAATACCTCACTACCATAAAATAAGGTTTTCATAAATGAATCAATTTTGTCAATCTATTGCTGATCCAGATAAAAGCTGTAATTAACTGAAGAGTGTAGTTTACTAACATGAAATTACTCATTCATTTCATAAGTCAGTGTCAGTCCTCTGATAAATCACTTTATGTATTTATTACCATAGTTCTGGTCTGAGGAAGTTAGCTTACTTGATGTTGGTTTACATAAACATTTTGCTGTGCATTCGAAGCATAAAAAGATGATTTTTTTTTCTCTTCAAATAATGAATTCTAATAGTTGTTTACTTTTACGAAACAGTGTGTTTCTGATGTGAATTTGGTTTCAGAGTTGTTACACTATACGCTGAATTACCTAATACTGTAAAAGGGGAGTATTTTGTATAAATCCAATTGTGCTTCTTTGGAGCATATTTGAAGTCAATTCAATTTTTATTTGGCCTGTTGGTTTGTTTCAGTGCTTGCTTTATTTTTATAGGGAATCCTCATTGGAAATGTTGGCCACTAGAGTAGTGTTTTTGGTGGCCTTGGACAGAGTTTGTTTTGGGGCAGAAGAGTAGAGGGACAAAAGAAGAAACTCTGCCATAGAACAGAGGCATAGACATAAGCTGTCTGTCCCTAATTACAGCTGCTAGGGAGGCATAGACTGATCTGCAGAGTGAACACTAACTGAAAGATGGTTACTAAGAATACACTTTTGCTGCTTTCCCGAATAATTCTTTCTTGTAACCACATGGTATTTGGCTACTTGCAAGTAGCTGCAGCACACCTCATACGGAGGGCAGCTGGCAGAAAGCTGGCTATGGACAAAAAAATGGTCAGCTGTCACAGTTACGGGTGTGGACTTACTACAAAGCAAATGGTGGAGCAAACACTGCTGGCCTGGGGGAGATGTGCAGGGAAGCGTATTTCTCTTCAGTCTGTTAGGACAGTGCTTATTAACACGCAGATGGCTTGCAATGGACAAGAATAGTTTATTTTATATATTTGTGTGTAAAGATAGACTGGGGAGCAAGGGAAATCTGCAGCTAAGTTTTGCGAAATGTTTTTGTTACGGCTTCTTTCATCATCCTCATCTTCAGCTGTATCTCTAGACTGCAAATAAATCTGTGACAAACAGGTAGCAGCTTCTCTTGTGTGGAAAACCATCACTGAAAGCAGCTGGAGATTGTTGTGGGTTGCATGCTGGAGGCTCTTGAGACCACTAGAACTCCACAAGGTCACTAGAGAATTGCTTTAATGGATGTGGTGATGAATCAATATAGAATTTTTGTTGCTGTGTGAAGCGATGTTTCATTTGGAATTTCATTTTCCATATTTTTTTTTGCTGTGGAAATAATTGTGTGTAATAGTCAGTTGGTTGTGGGTGATTTGGTTGAGTAAGTACCACTATTTATCAATTTGTTCTAATGGCACATTTGTGTGTTTATTAACTTATTCTTAAAAAATTGGAACATCCGATTGTGCTTTAATGTCCCAATCTTGATTTTAACTTACCTCTTTATCAGCAATGTGGCAGTTAACATCGTATTCCCTTTTACATTCATAGCAGAGTTAAAATGTGTCAGTGGACAAATGATGTAATTTAGAGCATGGAAATAAATTTTTTTCCAGCAACAGCTTTTCAGATCTTTGGGCATTAAGATAAAGGCAGTAGTAGTGCAGAACTAGTTTGGACAGTAGTATATTGCTTTAAGTGTAGCCCTTTTTTTTGGTGGTGCTAAAGCAAAATGCTCGACTTCATCATGTTTGTATTAGGTTGCTGGGGCTTGGAGTTGTTGTGCTTTTTGTGGACTTGATCTCTTTCATGTGCATGGTACACTCACTGTGGTTTGTTTTGGTTTTTTAAAGGTTGATCCCAACCAGTTAACACATTCAGTAATTTTTTTCCTTTTTTACTAAACACTTCAGCAGATGGGGGGGAGGCTATACTTTAAATGATGAAATGTGAATAGGACTGATGTAAAAATGCTTTATGGTAGTCTCATTTTATTCTTAAACATTGCTTGCTCTCTTTGCACATGGATGGCCTTGTATGCCAGTTGGCTTGCGGATTTTGCTTTAAACTCTTACTTTAGCCCTGTTTTTTATTAACTAAATATGTATTTAGAATGGTTGCTTTGCCTATAGGTTAACAGCTGAATCGAGATTTGAAGCTACGCAAAAAGAAGATCAGAAAGAGAATAAAATCATTATTGAGAAGAAAACACACACGAAAAAATACACGACACTGTATGTATCTTCTAAGCCGACGTCTGAAACGCAATGTGCTCAGCAATAAAACTTGCATCTCCGGAAGGAACCTGAACTGTCTGGAGTCCTGCTTCAGCGGGAATCACTGAGTTATGTGTGACATCAGTTTAATGTACAGGTTCTGACCTTAGATACTGATCTGCCGTGTTTTATGCGGAGTGTGATCGCATTGAGAGCTGCACTTCGGGTATCTTAACTTCCCAGAGGGCCCCTGTTCAGTTCCCTGGAAATGTGACTTGTAGCGCTGCCTGATCGTGAGCGTTGGCCGAGTCTCTAAACATGTGTCAGTCATTATGTGTTGGAAGCGCAGCGCTGTTCTGAAAGAGAAGAACTTGCTGCAGAAGCCTTATTATCTGATAAGGCAGAGGTCAACCCTGAGCGAGACAGACCAGCCAATGTTGATGCAGTCATGCGCTCCTGAATTTTTTCCAGTTCCTGGATTCAGAATTCTTAACATTTTTTTTTCCCCTACTTTTTCAACTTTCAGCCTGACCTGATTGTGAAGGTGCATGTGAATTTTTATGCATTTTGTGGGATGGTATTCTTTTAAAACTCTATATTCTGGTACTTGTACTAATAATAAATCTTGTTTTCTCTTCTTTTGAGACATAGTCTGCATTGCATTGGAGACGAAACACTTACCTGAAGCTGTTGGGTTTTTGATTGTGAGTTGAGGTATTTTCTAGGAAGGGTTGTGTTTGAAAAAATTACCCTTGAATAAAAGTTAAGAAATTGCAATGCATGTGTCATGTGTCTTGTTTTGAGGAGACAAACCTTAACTTTCTGTAACTTTCTGAGGACGCTTTGTGCAGAATAATTCTGAGGAGGACACTTAGGCTAGTTCTGTTGTTTTTTGGGGGTTGTTTTGTTTTTCAGTGTTTCTATGGAAGTTTAAGATTACTTCATTTGACTCTCCACTGCAGTTTAAGCTCCCTCTAGTGAACGGGTTAGCCACTTCCTAAGTAATAGACTCAGTAGTTAAAATGAAAGCTCTTTAAGACTTTCCCTTTTAAATCCATTATGAAAATAGTTTCTTGGGGAAGAATTGTACAACCCAGGGGATTTTAGATTTGACAGCTTGATCTGCTGCATGTTAACTTCCATCTGTACTTTGGAACTCAAGGCTGCTAATGTGCCTCTGTATTTAAACAGGTGCGACCTCAAGCTGATGTCAGATACTGCTAGTCAGCACCAAGAGGTAGTGAGACATCCTACATAAAAAGCATTGTACTCGTTGTGTTCCAGCTCTGGTCACACCGCTGTTCCATTCGGCAGCTCGCCGTGTGGTAGGGGTGCTGACTAATTTTCTCACCACTGCCACCAGATAATGTACAAATGTACCTTACAAACACACCATCTTGAGTTAAGTCATCTATTGTAGAAACATAATGGTGTTGTTACAGGCTTGCGGTGAGGGGGAAGACAATCTCTTGCATAAAATTTTATAGGTAGCTTTTGGAGAAATTGCTAATTATATGTGCCTGTATGAATCTGCTGAATGTCCTTGTCCAAGACAACTGTTTGGATTGCTTGTTGACAGTTACGCCAGGCCAGAAGTGATGCCTAGAAGTTAACCATGACTCTGCACGTGGGTGGCTTTAGCTCCTCAGTCACTCACCTCTGCAAATAGTGAACTGCAATGTTGTGAGTGGCAGCAGGAGTGACTAAAGATGTGGTAAAGTAAACATGAGTGAGCAAATGTGGCTTGTCGCTTCCCAGCGCAGTTTGAGCTTGGTATCAGTCCATTTCCACGTAGCTGCATTCAGACTCAGCCTGGTGGCTGCTGCTGCTATTGTTGAACAAAATAATCATAAATCCATGGACATAGAATCTAATTGTGTCACTTCATCAAGCCAAGAAATTTACTATCTGTACAAATCCTTCAGTCTCTTATTAGTGAAGTCTACGTAAACTGAGACCACCTTATTTATTGCTCGCTTTTCCTAAGATATTCCATGACAGCAATATCCAACATATATCCATGAAATAGTTCTTAGTTTCTTGACTTGGACCGCACATGTGAACTTAAAGAATATTACATTGAAGAAATCATGATTTTCATGCTACAAAATGATAGAAGAAAACCTTTTTTTTATGCGAATGGTAAAAATGAGCTTTGTTTACTGTCACTGTACACTGAGATGCAAATAGCATAAACCAACTAAAGCACACAATTGTTTTAATTAGCTGAAAACCTTCAGTAACTTGACATTGGATGCATGTATTTAAATAGAAGTACTGAACTGGAGTTTGTCTATGAAGAGAGTTAATTATAGGTTGAGCTACTTGGCATGTGACATTTCTATTCTTTTTAATATAAATAATGATACAAACAAAACAAGGATGTCATTTCAACACATGAATAAAACTGATCAGGGGTATCTAGTTACACCCCAAAACTACTGCTTTAGATGTACTGCTGTAGTTTGCTTAGAGTGTGTAGTCTTTATCTTAGTAATACATGCATGCTTGGAAATCTTTTGCAGAATTACAACTAGCAGGTGGGGGAAGATGTCTGGAATCGAGGCTTTTGTTGTGCTATAACATACTTAAGGCATTGTCCTTTAAGTGCATGAAGTACTTTGCATATTTTCTTTTTTTCCTTCTGTTTTGTTGTATCAGTTGCTTTCCTGCCACTGCTCACAGATCTTGGAGTCTAATAGAATTTAGAGCAAGTTAAATGTAACTGCTATATTCTGCTTAAATTCTTCGGTATACTGGAAATTGGCATAGCTAAAATTTGATAGTTTGATAGCATTTTACAAGATCTTGTTTTCTGGAATTGATAGCAGTATTAAAGGAAGCAAGAAATCCTCTGCCGCCTTCCTCTGCCTGCCCCCCAGACCCCCAAAAGGTAAGTCTGACTTCCCTAGGCAGAAAGATTATTTTCTTTAGCAGAAGCGAGGAATTTTGTACTTGCCAGTATGAGACATTCTGCCTGGAAAAAGACTTAAGGAAAAGATTGTACATGCATGAAAGTGACAAATGATTTATCTGTCCACTTCTTTTTGTAGAATAGTACTGTGGAATGGGAATTACACAACGAGTAATTGGAATAAAAACCTCTGCTGACAAAGGGTGTAACTATTATCCGTCTTAATTCTCCAGACCCTTGTTGGGGTTTGTCCTCTGCTGTAGGCATATAGAATTTTAGGGCTGTAATGCTTGTTTACTCTCGGGATGCATTTTCCTCTAAAATCTGAAGAAGATTTTGTTGCTCAATCCGTTTGTGAGAAGCTGTAGCCAGGGCTTTTTCACACACAGTCAGATGAGATTATCTTAGCTAGCTAATGGGAAAGTGGCAGTAGGCGCTAGTAGCTAAAGAGCTGCGAAAGCGTCATTGTGAAAGTACGCCAGGAGGAAGCGATGGCAGATGTGTGCAATGCTGAGGGCTGGGCGTGGGGGAAGGGGGTGGAAGGTGGGCTGCAGCCTCTTGGCTTCTCAAGGCGGGGCATTTGCAGTGAGTGGGCGTAGTAAGAAGAGGGGCGTGACCTCTGAGGTGGGAAGGGAGCGGTGTTCAAATGTATGGTGGTATTTAGATGTCTTGTACTCCGAAGAATCAGATCTCAGATGGAAGAGATTCAGGGCATCAGGAAAGCATTGCAAACGGGATCCCAGTTTGGAGGTGAATTCTTGTATATGATTTCTTTAGAACACTTCAAAATATAACAGTATTGTATTAATTAGGTTTATTTCTTCCTCTTATCCCGTCTGAATCTGCCCTCTGTTGGTTTTAAACTATTACCCCTGGTCCTATTGCAACAGGTCCTGCTCAAAAGTGTTGGCAAACTTGCTGAGGGTGTGTTCAATCCCACTGTCAAGGTCATTGATGAAGGGATTAAACAGGACTGGTCGCCATATGGACCCCTGAGGAACACCCCTTGTCACCATTCTCCACCTGGACATTGAGCCATTGACCATGCCTCTGGATGTGACCATCCAACCAACTTCTCATCCACCCAACACAGTTCACCATCAAATCTGTATCGCTCCAATTCAGAGAGAAGGGTGTTGGGCACCATGCCAAAGGCTTTACAGAAGTCCAGATAGATGACATCCGTAGTTCTTCCCGTGTCCAGTGGTGCAGTTACTCCATCACAGAAGGCCCCTAGGTGCATCAGGCAGGGCTTGCCCTTGGTGAAGCTGTGCTTGCTGCCTCGAGTCACCTCCCTGTCCTCCATGTGCCTTAACATAGCTTCTGGGAGGATCTGTTCCATGATCTTCCCAGGTAGGGGGGCATGACAAAGTGTGTTTTTAAATGAGTGCTAGAAAGGAACAATTTTCCTCAGAACATTTGTAGTACAAGGAAACATAATGAGGAAGAGCAATGTAAAACACGAAAATAAATGCCAGTTGTGATGTCTAGGCCCGATGGTATACGGGGAGGGTTGATTTGCTGCAGTAGGGATTCGGAGGAGTAAGGGAGATAGTCATTGCTGGTTAGGAAGGTATTACTCAAAATACATAGTAAATTAAAAGATCAAGTGGTTCAGCCTCAAAATCTTTTTTTTTTTGTTGATAGAGAAACAATGTAAGATGTTTCATGGAAAAGACAGATTTAGACACTTCTATGAAGCTGATTGTCTGTAGATGGAGATAATCTGAGTTGCTCAGAATCTGGCTCACTTCAATAAACACAACATGAATTTTCATGTTAGTGGGGGGAGGAATAACTAGCTAAAGAATTAACTAGCTAAATCCTTTTGCTAAGCTGGTACGTAGACATGGTTAAGATTGGGGCAATTCAGGCAACTCTGTGGTAAAGTTTAAGGAGGTTTTCTTCCAGAAATACCAGAATTCCACGTGCAATGAGACAGACTGGCAGGCTGTGCTGCTCATGATTGCTGGTTAAAATCAACAACTCTGCCTGTCACGTGTTACCAAAAATATCCTGACAGACGTAGCACAGCACCGTTCAACAGTTCTGATAAACACTGATTGCTAAGTTGCAATGTAATATTCAGAGGACAGGGTTCTCATATGAATTTGTGGTACTGAGCAGGAGATAAAACAAAGAAATGGTAAATC